TTTGGTGGTAGGCAAAAATCCCAATTTTTCTTTTTTCACCTTGTTCGGTCTGTAACTTGGTCATTTATTATTCAATTATATAATGCTTTAAAGGATTGTCTTGTACGGAGTGTAAGTAATGTTCAGTTAAAAAATCAGCCAAAAAACTTTGAAAATGGCCGAACTATCGGTATTACAGTGACAGACTTCTCCAAATTTTAAAAATTTTCGAAAAAGAAAAATATATTTTTTCTCGATGAGGGAGTATTTTTAGAAAATTTTGAAGGTGTGCAATCTTATTCTTTTTGTCTATTTAATCATAATATAAAATAAAATCGATGTTCGGAGCAAAAACGGTTTTGGTGTATCTCCCCTTAAATGGTATTTAACAGAATATATTAGGTACAATTTAACGAATCGGTTTTGCCAATAGTTACGTGAGAATAATTTGAAACTCGTATACTTTTTGAGACAAGGTCAGATCAATTGATAGCATGGATTCAATGATTTTATGCCTCTTCAATAAATTAAATCCTGTGGTTTTGGGATTTTAAATTTTAAAGAAGCTCTCTCTCTCTCTCTCTCTCTCTCTCTCTCTCTCTCTCTCTCTCTCTCTCTCTCTCTCTCTCTCTCTCTCTCTCTCTCTCTCTCTCTCTCTCTCTCTCTCTCTCTCTCTCTCTCTCTCTCTCTCTCTCTCTCTCTCTCTCTCTCTCTCTCTCTCTCTCTCTCTCTCTCTCTCTCTCTCTCTCTCTCTCTCTCTCTCTCTCTCTCTCTCTCTCTCTCTCTCTCTCTCTCTCTCTCTCTCTCTCTCTCTCTCTCTCTCTCTCTCTCTCTCTCTCTCTCTCTCTCTCTCTCTCTCTCTCTCTCTCTCTCTCTCTCTCTATATATATATATATATATATATATATATATTATATAATATATATAATTGTGGGTGGCGTCGTCTGCTTACAGTGCTCAATCGGCAAGCCGAGAGCTAGATACAAAATGAAACGACCGGTTGAGTCAGACAAATGTTTCAATCATGATACAAAACCATGATATCATCAGTGACAACTGAGGTATAGGAACTAAAATCAAAATTACAAAGCTAAAATTTAACATAATTCGGAATTTCGCTGGATTGTACAACTTTCGTCTTGGTAGATTCCAAACACAAGGAAATTTTCCTTCTGGTTGGTAATATACTCAATGATGGAAGTATAGTGTATTGGCTTACTAGTTTAGCTCTTTCTAGTCCCCTGCTACACGGCATGTAAACAGGGATTGGCTAGTTAGAGGCGGTCCGTGTAGGCCTTACACTGTGCTTTCAGCAATACTCATAAACAATCACTCGTGAAACAATACTAGGGGTTAGATGTATGAGTCATTAGATTATAAAAGGAATTTCCGTTTATGGCGGCATTTTGTGAGGATTTCCGTCCTGGAGTTAAGTAAGTGTGGGTCAGAGGATCGAAGTAAGATTTCTAATTTCTCAGACGTGCACAGATCGCAGCTGTTCTGGCCGGCTCTGTATCCGTGTCCACGTCTGATTATTTTCCATTCGATCCTGAATTCTAACCCACGGTCTTTGAAGGACCAGATCTTCTCCGACAGTTTGGTTCTATTTCGGTACCGCTCCAGGCGAAATGATGACGTGTGCCCGTTGTACCGGTCCTTGAATGTGCCCTCCGTCATTCCGATGTAGTGGTGCTTCTCATTTTCCGTACGGAGGGTCGCCATGTATACCACAGACTTCGATAGGCACTTTCCGTCTAGTGGACCTACAAAACCCAGGCAGGCGAGGCAAAACCACCACGTAATAGAAGGAGGAAACGCAGGGTCCTTTGGTTCAATCCCCCCTTCTCTGTCACTGTGGAGACCAATGTTGGAAGGAAATTCTTCAATCTGTTGGAGAAACACTTCCCTCAGGACAATCCACTACACAAGATCTTGAACCGGAACAGTGTAAAAGTCTCATACAGCTGTATGAAAAACATGGAATGCCTCATAAAATCCCGGAACAAGCAGTTGCTTCGTCAGCACCAGGAAACCCAGGAACCCACCACACGGCAGTGTAACTGCCGCTCCAGGAACTCCTGCCCACTAGACGGAAAGTGCCTATCGAAGTCTGTGGTATACATGGCGACCCTCCGTACGGAAAATGAGAAGCACCACTACATCGGAATGACGGAGGGCACATTCAAGGACCGGTACAACGGGCACACGTCATCATTTCGCCTGGAGCGGTACCGAAATAGAACCAAACTGTCGGAGAAGATCTGGTCCTTCAAAGACCGTGGGTTAGAATTCAGGATCGAATGGAAAATAATCAGACGTGGACACGGATACAGAGCCGGCCAGAACAGCTGCGATCTGTGCACGTCTGAGAAATTAGAAATCTTACTTCAATCCTCTGACCCACACTTACTTAACTCCAGGACGGAAATCCTCACAAAATGCCGCCATAAACGGAAATTCCTTTTATAATCCAATGACTCATACATCTAACCCCTAGTATTGTTTCACGAGTGATTGTTTATGTTAAATTTTAGCTTTGTAATTTTGATTTTAGTTCCTATACCTCAGTTGTCACTGATGATATCATGGTTTTGTATCATGATTGAAACATTTGTCTGACTCAACCGGTCGTTTCATTTTGTATATATATATATATATGGAAGCAGTCAGCTGACGTGCATTCTCGTCAGTGCAACAAAGAGCTATAAGGAGCCGAGGGGGCTAATGAGTACTAATGAACTGCTGCCAGAACACAAAGGAACACAATGCTGAATAGGTATAGGAGAATAATGCAAGGTTTTAGGGACAATGCTCAGAACGCAAGGAAAATGAATTAAGAATAGGTATAGGGAACGATCTACGATTTTTGTGGATGAACAAAGGGTGTCAATGCTCGAGCTCTATTATATATAAAGAATTCTTCAAGGTCTTTATGGTTTTACTTCATGATTTACTCGGTGTTCATGGATTAGACAAAGTCTGGTCAACATGGCTGGATGATGGCCCAGGACAACCCTTATGAGCATTAAGCAAATCATATGACATAGGTAAAACCTAAGTAAACTATCCAAATAGCCTAATATGCATGATAAAATATACCGATTACTCTCAACAGGATTAAACCCCAAACCGTTTGCATTCGCCATGTCTGCAAACTTCTAGCCACAATTGGCGGACCAATCGACCTCCAAATTCTCCTTATAAATGTTCAGCTATGATTTGTCTGCACCCAAGAATAAATCCTTAGTCGGTGGCCAACATAAGTATATTTTCATAGTATACTACTTGATATTTATTTCTATACTCAGCTGGCTCACCTGACATCATTACTACGATCAGTCGTTAGGATGATCGTGTCTTTGGCCTCAGGAGACCAGTCTGTTTTACCCCTTTCAGAGTGCATGTCTTTAAAACTAATGCCCAAATACCAATCTCCTCCACAAGTGAATAGAACTTAGAAGTATACTTCACAGTTGAGGGTGACCAATGACCAGGTAACTCCCACAATCCACATGTATTTTAAACAAGCACACTTTTATTTCGTTACCATTCGACAGTGGTAGGAGATGTTATATCATTTACCATGACCACCTGCTCACCTGGACCCAATTTTACGTTTTAGGGTGGGCGTGAATTATATTGTGCAAATATTCGAATATGATTTGATTGTGGACTGCAGTTTGGGTAATATTAAAGTCGTCGACTTTAACTCCCCATAATACTTCTTTGGCCTCAGGAAAGTTGTTTACATCATTCCTCTCAGAATGCATAATTTTGGGGTCTTTAAGACTAATGCCAAAACAAATGCCATAAGATCAACAATGATGACACGTGGTTATTAGTATACTTTAGAGGGTGACCCCCTCATACTGTCCATCTACCCCTCACAAGGAACTGAAACCGAGGGGTTCCGTTCAGGCCCTTCACACTTTGTTTCTGTCTAGTTCTAATGTACCGTCACAATAGTGACTTTAAATATATATGCTGATTGCTGCGTTATGTGAGCACTAGTTTATATCTCATGAGGTGAGAAAACTGAGAATAGTAGGAGTTGTTAACTTAACCATCACCCGCACATATTAGAAAGTAATATTTGAGTGCCTCATGGAATATGTTTGATTACACTATTTTAGATTTTCCATGTTTGTTGAGGTCTGTTGACTTTTTTACTACTGGTGTGTTCGTATTAAGCTTCACATAGGCTGAGTGTCGTGCAGATCAGTTCATTTTTTTAATCTAGACACTTATTTTACTTCGGAGTATTCCAACAGCCATATTGTTACACAAGTGCAACCAGCCAATTACAGGAAGCCGAAGGATTTGTTTTAAGCCAGTGACGGTTAAGGTAGTGTGTACCATACTTTCTTCGCCCGAGACTTTGCTGCAATGTGCAGCTCCTCATTTCATAGTTGGTTCGTGCGCACTTAACGTACTTTTAAAACATAACGCACTTAACGTACGAAAAAACATAAAACGGTGAATTCAACGGTAAATGTACTTAAACGCACTTTTAACGCACGAAATAATTCAAACGCACTTTACGTACTTTTCCCGAAAAATTGACGCACGAACCAACTATGCCTCATTTAACCCTCACACCCGATTTCTCGAGTATTCGGCTGAGTAGACCGGGGGGCTGCATAGACCACTCACGATCCTTAGCTGAATGTCAACGACACTCACCCCACGACCAGGCAGGCAGTGGGATTTGAACCCGCAACCTCACGATTGCAAAGCTGGCTAACCAACTGCGCTACCTGGCCATCAGTTATAGTAATTAGTAATTAGAAATTAGTAAAATCAGTTATAGTAGTTCTTGTACTTTTACTTCACTCGCATGAACGACGTTCTGTGACACTGTTTGTGAAAGCACTCTAACAGATAAAATTCCATCTTATCTTTATTTAATTCAGCTTTTTTTTTCTTCAGATGATTTAACATGAAATGCAATCCTCTGACGTATAAAAAAGTTATTCCACGTTTTCTGAACAAATTATGAATAAATTTCTGGATTTCCTTCTATAATTTAGATGTTAGCAGCCTAACTACAAGTACAAGTGCTAGCGGTAACAACCATGGGACACAATCTCCTTTTACTTCTGATGTTCAATATCTGTTCAATACGATGTGACCCTGGTCATGTCTTATTACCAAGTAAGTACATATTTAGACACATTTTCTTGATATAATAATAATAAGAGTAAAGATTAAAGAGAGATATGAACATTCCCCACTATTTCAAGCATGTGCTGTTAATTATGCGACTAACCTCCTTAATAAAAGCTCCAATGACTATCTATTACATATTAATATGAGTATGTCGTATGATACAATCAATGTTTCATTGAAAATATGATTTTCACAAACACTTCTCTAGCGTTAACATTGTCTGTTGGTAACGGGAACTTCGACTCCACTCACACCGAAGACCTTGCAACTGATGGGAACCATGATACGTATGCTTTAGCAAATCCATACAGTTCTGGTGGCGCTGTGACTATAACGTGCAAGTTCCAGAAAAAATACCGCGTTAAGTCGGTAAAAACTTGGGTCACAACTGATATGAGAAGTGTCAGAGGCAAGCTCTTTGATGGTACTCAAGACAAAAGGACCCTTTCCTCCCTAGATGGCAATAATAATCAGCCTCGAACAGAAAACATGGATGACGATGGAGATAGGATCATATTCGAGAGGCAAGGAGAGATTCAGCTGAGAGAAGTTGAAGTCAGAATAAAGGACAACAGGAACTTTCGAGGTTAATATTAATATTTTTAAATATCATCAAATATTATCCATCAACATAAGAAATTTCGGAATAAATGTAATTATTTCCACCCATACTATACGGTAACACTTGTGTTCATGATTAACATTGCAGACTGCAGTACAATCACAATAGCGGAAATACTACATGCAACAACTACATCCATCGGACCTGTAACATCAGGAACAGAGATAACCTTCAGATGTTTATTCGGCGGATCAATTAGAACAACCACGTGTTTTGACGGGGATATCGGCCCTGTCATATGCCCTCAAGTCAGTGTCGATTGTAAGTATCAAGAAATGTGCTACCATTACATGTAAAGAGTTGCAAAACTACAAAATTTACACGGTCGAAAATTTAGAATGATTTTTTCGAGAGCTTTCCCATTTCAAAATATGGTAAATTGTACTATTATAGACATTGGATATACAAAGATAGTATGATGTCTTCATTCGTTTTATTTTCATTTGTTTTATTTTCAGCATGCGCTTTACCAACATCGATAGAGCACGGTTCAACGACCGCCACTGGATATAAAATTGCATCAGGACAAACAATTGAGTTAACATGTGATGCTACTGCAGGGGAGACAAAAGATATCACATGTAATATTGGAACCTGGACTCCAGAGTTAATATGTCCTGGTGAGTTACAGGATCTGTATTATATATTGTTGTTGTGTTTTTTATTTGCAATCAATCTGTCATAATATATACATTTTCATTTAACTGATGTTTCGACAGTTGCTATGATCAACCACGAAAAAGTGTCGTTTTTTATTCACATCATCAACAGCGTGATCTTATCTGTATAAATATGTTGCTCAAAATGTATCTGATCTTATGATGTCAGAGAGGGAAACCTTTGGTAACGCTATAATTCTTATAATATTTCAGTTATCTATATATGGAATGACTGGGGAGCCTGGTCAGTGTGTTCAGATGATTGCGGAGGGACTAAGGAAAGATCCAGAACCTGCACGGACCCTTCTAATGAAAGATGTGACGGAGATGCCACTGAGTCTCAGGCTTGTAACCTCCACGCTTGTAAAAAAGGTAAAAAGGGTGCCGGAAAACTAAATGTTTTTATTCAACAAAGTTCAGACATCATTAACAATATGACTCACAGTACAGAAATCAGAATCAGTCAAGGACCTCCAATTAAGTTACAGTTAATCAGATGATCAATGAAAGGTTTACATAACGTAGTAATGATTATATTTCAGTTGACGGTAGTTGGAGTGACTGGGAAGACTGGTCAGGATGTAGAGATGATTGTGGAGGGACTAGGGAAAGAACCAGAACCTGCACAGCCCCTTCTAATGGTGGAGCTCAATGTGTTGGAGATGCCACTGAGTCTGAGGCTTGTGATGTCCACGCTTGTAAAGGTAAAAAGGGTGCCGGAAAACTAAATGTTATTATTCAACAAAGTTCGGACATCATTAACGATATGACTCACAGTACAGAAATCAGAATCAGTCAGGACCACCAATTAAGTTACAATTAACTTACAGTATGTAGGAGCATCCAAACTACAAAACCACTTGACAAGGACTAGTAAAAGTATCAAGAAATTCGTTTTGTTTTACTAAAAGGGAAACACAAGCCCTGTGTAACAAGTTCACAACGATTTCATGTGTTTCATTTTCAGCATGCACTATACCAGAAGCGCCAGTGGAGAACCGTGTGTTGGATCCCTCGTCCGGAGGAAAGCATTCATCAGCCGCAATAAAGATTTCATGTTTCGGAAAACCTGCTATTTACAGTTACTGTAGAGATGGGGTGTGGGATCCGGAGTTAGTCTGCCCAGGTGAGGTTTAATTATCATATTTATAGGGCTATTTATAGATACAGCAATTTGGCATTAGTCGGTCAGAAATGCGTATTTTAGCCGCATAACTTGTTTATTTATCTTAGTTGTATTATCTTCTTAACCAATGAAATGTGTAGGATATATAACGAAGAGGTTACGTCTTGTAACCTATAGCCCAGGTAACCTGCTGAGCCTATAATGGGCATTTTACTCAAACAATATTTCAATTACGTACAAGACAAATGGTCGTTTTTTTATTGGGACTGATTTGTTATGCGTTACATACACAGACACATTACACAATAGATAAAACAGTATTATTAATGCATGTCACAGTGTTTTGCACTAATTATAATTCATGCTTTCATGTGTTTCAACTCCCATAAAATAATCAAATATTTTATAGACAGAGAATACATAACGTAATAAATAAAATAATGACCATGTTTCAGGATGGAGTGATTATGGAGAATGGTCAGGGTGTTCAGCTACTTGTGGAACAGGGACAAGAGCTAGAATCAGAATCTGCACAAACCCAGCTCCTGTTCACATTGGACTTGACTGCCCGGAGGCAGGAAACACGGAGTCGGAAGATTGTAACCAACAAGATTGTCCAGGTAGAAATTAAGCTTATAAATATGACACGTCACTTGACCAAATCTCCCTGGAAACCGTTAAAAACACTGATAATTGACCAAACAGTGACCCTTTGTTGAGAAAAATTATATGCGAACTTTACATTTTAATTTACAGATTAATTTACAGATAATCAACAGATAATCAATGAAAATAAAAGGTTTACATAACTTAATAATGATTATATTATATCAGTTGACGGTGGTTGGAGTGTCTGGGGAGCCTGGTCAACCTGTTCAGCTGATTGCGGAGGAGGAAGTAGGTCGAGGACTAGAACCTGCACCAACCCAGTAACTTCTCATGGTGGAGCTGAGTGTGTAGGAGAAAACACGGAGTCGGAAGATTGTAACCAACAAGATTGTCCAGGTAGAAATTAAGCTTATAAATATGATACTTCACTTGACCAAATCTCCCTGGAAACCGCTAAAAACACTGATAATTGACCAAAAAGTGACCCTTCGTTGAGGACAATTTTAGCTCGCAAATAGAATCGAAAACTACAGTTATAGAAAAAGGATAGGTACGGGTAAATGCCTCACAGAATGGCTAGCCTCACAGAATGGCCAAATTTGTAAATGTTTTTGTAACTAATTTTTTATAAAAGACTGGTAGGTTTTGTGGATGCCATATGAAACAAAAGTCTTCTGGCAACACTTCCTGTGGTGAAATCATAAACTAGGACCACATTTTCTGGCATAAATATGACTGTAAAATCCGGATTGGAGTATTATTTATGAGTCGCATTGTTGTAATGTATTCTGGGTAAAATTATCTTTATCCCGGTTGTTGCGACAAGTAAAAATGCTCTTATTATTAGGGAAAGGAGATTACTCGACGTTTCAATGTAACTACATCGTATTCATGATCTCAAATTATTTTAATACTTTCAACACTACTATATAACAAATAATTTGAGATCATGAATACGATGTAGTTACATTGAAACGTCGAGTAATCTCCTTTCCCTAATAAGAGCATTTTTACTTGTCGCAACAACCGGGATAAAGATAATTTTACCCAGAATACATAAATATGACTGTTTATGTAGAAATTTTGAGCACTGAAAAATTTGTTTTCAAATTTTTGAACTAAGTTTACATTTTGGTGAGAACTTCTGGCACCAGTATGACAGAAGATGTTCAAAGAATAGTATTCATCAAAAAAAACGAACATTGTTCAATATAGGAAGAAAAAAATGCTAAAATGGCTACACGCCTCACAAAATGGCCAAAATATGCCTCACAAAATTTGTTTTCAAATTTTTGAACTAAGTTTGCATTTTGGTGAGAACTTCTGGCACCAGTATGACAGAAGATGTTTAAAGAATAGTATTCATCAAACAAAACGAACATTGTTCAATTTAGGAAGAAACAAAATGTTAAAATGGCTAAACGCCTCACAAAATGGCCAAAATATGCCTCACAAAATGGCCAAAATTTAAAACTCCTTTTATTCGATGAAACCATAAGTCTAAAGTATTCACAAGCTATTTATTATACAATAACACCCCAGATGGAGTGTTTTTACAGCCGAATGAAGGTTATAAATCATGAAATCAGGGAATATGAACAACGCCACACAAAATGGCCATTTTTGGTGTAGGAAATTATGCCCTTTTTATTCAGTTCTAAGAAATTTCACCTATATGGGGGTGTTAACAAGGCATATTAATACCAGCAGCATGCCTGAAACAAGAGCCAAAGGTTTTAGAAAGATAAAATTTTCTCGTTTTCTTTTTTTTTTTGCCATTTTGTCAGGCATTTTTTCTTTTTTGTGAAATAATTTTTCACAGCTCAGTTTTTTCGTGAGTTTTAGGTTATTACCCCATTCCTTAATAGGTTTTCTAAGAACGTGTGGTGATAGAAATTTAAAAAGTATCTCCATCAACAAAATTATAGAAATTCAGATTTGGCCATTCTGTGAGGCATGTTTTTTTCGAGGAAGATTTTCCAGCCAATTTTTCTCAAAGAAAAAATGGTTATGAGATTAAATGAACCCCCGGGAAGAAAAATATGAGTGTCAACTTAGCTTCTTATGAGATAAAAACTGGAATAAAGTGTGTTTTGTGACTTTGAGATACCTTCCTTTTTTTTGGCCATTCTGTGAGGCAAATACCCGTAGCTATTATAGTATTTTTATTTTGGCATTAGATTTTTAGAATTAACGTCGGAAGTGAGGGAGAATAATAAATAATGTTTCATCAAACATTGACTGCGTCGTCGTTTAGCAACCTCAAACGATTGCATGTGCGCGAGTAAGCAAATATTATCAATACGCGTTTAAATGCTTTATGAAACGTCACGACTAGTTTAAATTTACGCTCATGCATTTTAATGTTTTTAGAATTTGATAGAGTATCGATACACATAAGTAATGTGCGTTATTGCAGCGAGAGAAAGACTTGCTGGTGAGATAGTCCCAGTCAGAGCTGAACAGTCCCGCACTAAGGATGATAACGAGCAACAGAACGGTGCTGTCCGCGCTATAGACCTGGACAAGACGACCTGGTCTAAAAACCAAGCTGATAACGGTGCCTCCTGGTTTGAGTTAACTTTGGATAAGGTGCACTGTGTTGAGCAGGTTGTATGGTCCAGATATAACCTTGATCCTTATGAAGAGGAGATCCACGCTACCTGGACCTGCTCTCAGACTGACTGCTCAGTATGTAACGGTGGAAAGTGTAGCGGCTACTCTCTGACAGTTTACAGCGGGGAAGCAGCACTAGACAACCTACCTTCTATCACCGACTGTAAATACGGAGATAAAGTCAAGGTAGAAAGTAATAACGGAGCGTTTAGTATTACGGAGATAGCAGTAACAGAGAAACAAGGTGAGATAATGTTTTTGACGGAAAAGGAGTAAATTCGAGTTGGTTTAGTCGATTTTAGAGTTCAATTAATAATTGTTCACCTAAAACTTTGTCGTTATTGTCAAATAAAATCCAAATTTTCATTTTAGAATTCATAAATAATTGTGTTGTTAAGTCAAGGAATAAGATACACAAATTCAGTTTTTCATTTTCACTTCAATAGTCTGATCAACACATTTACAGGTGAATGTGCTCCAGGAACTGCTAAAACCACCCCAGAAACAGCCTGTGAAGCGTGCCCCCTGAACACTTTGTCCCTGGGAGGACATGGACCCTGTGTCCCCTGCCCTGAGGGACAATATACTCAAACTACTGGACAGTCTACTGCCTGTAGTAAGTGTATTGTTGGTGGAGTAGTAATATCACTCATTATATTATATAGTTATATGCATTTTCTCAGACTACGTTTGCACAAAGTTCAGTGAAAGAGACAGTACGTTATCCTATGACATTAAAAGATGGCATGATACTCACTATACACTATACACTATACACTATACACTATACACTATACACTATACACTATACACTATACACTATACACTATACACTATACACTATACACTATACACTATACACTATACACTATACACTATACACTATACACTATACACTATACACTATACACTATACACTATACACTATACACTATACACTATACACTATACGCTATACATCATACACCATACACCATACACTATACACCATATATATACAGGGTGGGCCAAAAGTCAGTACCCATACGTTGGCCTTAATAGCTCCGCCGTGTTTTATATTTGAGAGATGTTGCTTTGCAGATGGCATACTGTACTTACTGGTTCGAGGATTCCGTCGTCAAAATTTGAAAATTCGAATATTTTAGACCACGCCCATTCGATATTAAAACACCTATATTGTTTTCTCTGGACATGCTGAACGCCTAATTTTTTAGATTTTGTAGATTATCGAAAGTTGCATATGATCTGAAATCATGAGGCAAAACGGATTAGAAATGACGAAGTTATCAAGCATTTTCTGTATCTCGTTAACAAAATGTGACACCGTGACACAACACCTTAATTGGGCACCCTTAACAATTCTCATAATGTTTAACGGGGTAGTTAACGGGGTCACCTTATCACGTGATTAGGTAAACCAATCACCTGATCACACGTAATGAATAAACTCGTTATGCTTCATATCTCGGTCATCTGAGAAGCTACAGTTCTAATTCTTTCAGGACAAACGTAATTCGAATGGCCAAACACAATTCAATAACATTTAGCTTGATCTGACTATCCAAACTATCAAATAAATGTGAAAATGAACCTCCATTTGAAAAAAATGAACGCTAATATTTTTCGAGTTGACAAATTCCTCGAACCAGTGGTGGTAGTAAGTCATACCAGAAAGAAGTATGTAAATTGGGCACTCAGTGACTGAGCTATAAAGGCCAACGTATGGGTACTGACTTTTGGCCCACCCTGTACTATATATTATACACTATACAATGATCTGCCATTAGCTAATTATGGATGGATGTGATCACTAATCAGTGAATATCTCAGAAAACATATCATCGTCAAACGTCCTTTCAAAAGAATCCATATCGTGTATCATAAGATTGTATACGACTGTACAATATCATGTCCTTCTGGTCACAAAGCACACTGATCCACCGCTAGCTTATTATTATTAACATAGTCTAATGGTTATGATGCACTAGTACCTCACAAGACACATCGTCGTTATACTGTTACAGATCTCTCTAAAAAACCACCAATATCATGGGTAAGTTGAGTGTAACCTAAAAAACCACCAATAACATGGGAAAGTTGAGTGTAACCTAAACAACCACCAATATCATGGGTAAGTTGAGCGTAACCTAAACAACCACCAATATCATGGGAAAGTTGAGTGTAACCTAAAAAACCACCAATAACATGGGAAAGTTGACTGTTACCTAAAAAACACCAATATCATGGGTAAGTTGAGCGTAACCTAAACAACCACCAATATCATGGGAAAGTTGAGTGTAACCTAAAAAACCACCAATAACATGGGAAAGTTGAGCGTAACCTAAAAAACCACCAATAACATGGGTAAGTTGACTGTTACCTAAAAAACCACCAATATTATGGGAAAGTTGAGTGTAACCTAAACAACCACCAATAACATGGGAAAGTTGAGTGTAACCTAAAAAACCACCAATAACATGGGAAAGTTGACTGTTACCTAAAAAACCACCAATAACATGGGAAAGTTGACTGTTACCTAAAAAACCACCAATAACATGGGTAAGTTGACTGTTACCTAAAAAACCACCAATAACATGGGTAAGTTGACTGTTACCTAAACAACCACCAATAACATGGGTAAGTTGAGTGTAACCTAAAAAACCACCAATAACATGGGTAAGTTGAGTGTAACCTAAAAAACCACCAATAACATGGGAAAGTTGAGTGTAACCTAAAAACCACCAATAACATGGGTAAGTTGACTGTTACCTAAAAAACCACCAATAACATGGGAAAGTTGAGTGTAACCTAAAAACCACCAATAACATGGGAAAGTTGAGTGTAACCTAAAAACCACCAATAACATGGGTAATATATATTTATATTTGTGTTCTTTTTTAGAAAGTTCCTAGAACCTGGCCTTAGTTTGTAGATTATTCCATGGGATTTTTTTAACTGTCATGAGTTGTGTGTATAGTTACATTTACACGGAGTCCGGAGAGACTAGACTGCCATTTGCCATGCCCTGGCTTGTTTTTATTTTTTATTTTTATAAACCTGTATCTTTGGCCGGTACCACATGATTGCAGAGTTGGTAGCACATGCTTCGGCAATCTACCTGTACCTCAGTGAACCGGTGGGTGAACGGCAGCTTGCTTGCAAGCTGTTGGGTACAGGGTGATGTAGTGTGCGAGTTCCCTTAATTGGGTGCGACAATACTCAGGGAAATCGGACTGGGGATCCGTCGGCCTGGTCTACTACCTTGAGCAACTCATTAAATGATTGTGTGGTATTGACGGAGATGCAGGCCTCAGTTTGTGTTTGTTGTTTTGATCTACAAATAAAGAAGAGTGTATAATGAAGTTCAATTAATTAAATTCTTTTGAATAAATAAAGGTAACCATTATGTGTCGAGATTATTATTTTTCTCTTATAGTTTATTCCATCTGATGTCTGGTTGTACCACCATGTCTGTCGTATAATATAGTTCTTAGACGTTAGTGTTACTAATAAGCAGTTTAAAGGAAATTGAGAATTTTTTGTTGGAGAATTCTAAATTATTAAAGTTTTATCTTTGTTTGGACAGCCGCTCTGACATTAGTAGCTAGTACCATTCTTGGTTACTAGTTGCTAATATGAGCGGGATATAAATACTTTGTTATTATTATTATTATTATTAAGTTGAGTGTAACCTAAAAAACCACCAATAACATGGGAAAGTTGACTGTTACCTAAAAAACCACCAATAACATGGGAAAGTTGAGTGTTACCTAAAAAACCACCAATATCATGGGTAAGTTGAGTGTTACCTAAAAAACCACCAATATCATGGGAAAGTTGACTGTTATCTAAAAAACCACCAATAACATGGGAAAGTTGACTGTTACCTAAAAAACCACCAATAACATGGGAAAGTTGAGTGTTACCTAAAAAACCACCAATATCATGGGTAAGTTGAGTGTTACCTAAAAAACCACCAATAACATGGGAAAGTTGACTGTTACCTAAAAAACCACCAATAACATGGGAAAGTTGACTGTTACCTAAAAAACCACCAATAACATGGGAACGTTGAGTGTTACCTAAAAAACCACCAATAACATGGGAACGTTGAGTGTTACCTAAAAAACCACCAATAACATGGGTAAGTTGAGTGTTACCTAAAAAACCACCAATATCATGGGAAGGTTGACTGTTACCTAAAAAACCACCAATATCATGGGAAAGTTGACTGTTACCTAAAAAACCACCAATAACATGGGAAAGTTGAGTGTTACCTAAAAAACCACCAATAACATGGGAAAGTTGAGTTTCACCTAAAAAACCACCAATAACATGGGAAAGTTGAGTGTAACCTAAACAACCACCAATATCATGGGTAAGTTGAGTGTAACCTAAACAACCACCAATATCATGGGTAAGTTGAGCGTAACCTAAAAACCACCAATAACATGGGAAAGTTGAGTGTAACCTAAAAATCCACCAATAACATGGGAAAGTTGAGTGTAACCTAAAAAACCACCAATAACATGGGAAAGTTGAGTGTAACCTAAAAAAACCACCAATAACATGGGAAAGTTGAGTGTAACCTAAACAACCACCAATAACATGGGTAAGTTGAGTGTAACCTAAAAAACCACCAATAACATGGGAAAGTTGAGTGTAACCTAAAAAACCACCAATAACATGGGTAAGTTGAGTGTAACCTAAAAAAACACCAATAACATGGGAAAGTTGAGTGTAACCTAAAAACCACCAATAACATGGGAAAGTTGAGTGTAACCTAAAAAACACAAATAACATGGGAAAGTTGAGTGTAACCTAAAAAACCACCAATATCATGGGTAAGTTGAGTGTAACCTAAAAAACCACCAATAACATGGGAAAGTTGAGTGTAACCTAAAAAACCACCAATATCATGGGAAAGTTGAGTGTTACCTAAAAAAAACTACCAATAACACGGGAAAGTTGAGTGTAACCTAAAAAACCACCAATAACATGGGTAAGTTGAGTGTAACTTAAAAAACCACCAATAACATGGGAAAGTTGAGTGTAACCTAAAAACCACCAATAACATGGGAAAGTTGAGTGTAACCTTAAAAATCACCAATAACATGGGTAAGTTGAGTGTAACCTAAAAAACCACCAATAACATGGGAAAGTTGAGTGTAACCTAAAAACCACCAATAACATGGGAAAGTTGAGTGTAACCTAAAAAACACCAATAACATGGGAAAGTTGAGTGTAACCTAAAAAACCACCAATAACATGGGAAAGTTGAGTGTAACCTAAAAAACCACCAATATCATGGGAAAGTTGAGTGTAACCTAAAAAACCACCAATAACATGGGAAAGTTGAGTGTAACCTAAAAACCACCAATAACATGGGAAAGTTGAGTGTAACCTAAAAAACCACCAATATCATGGGAAAGTTGAGTGTAACCTAAACAACCACCAATATTATGGGAAAGTTGAGTGTAACCTAAAAAACCACCAATATCATGGGTAAGTTGAGTGTTACCTAAAAAACCACAAATAACATGTGAAAGTTGAGTGTAACCTAAAAAACCACCAATATCATGGGAAAGTTGAGTGTTACCTAAAAAACCACCAATAACATGGGAAAGTTGAGTGTAACCTAAACAACCACCAATATTATGGGAAAGTTGAGTGTAACCTAAACAACCACCAATATTATGGGAAAGTTGAGTGTAACCTAAAAAACCACCAATATCATGGGTAAGTTGAGTGTTACCTTAACAACCACCAATATTATGGGAAAGTTGAGTGTAACCTAAAAAACCACCAATATCATGGGTAAGTTGAGTGTAACCTAAACAACCACCAATATTATGGGAAAGTTGAGTGTAACCTAAAAAACCACCAATATCATGGGTAAGTTGAGTGTTACCTAAAAAACCAAAAATAACATGGGAAAGTTCAGTGTAACCTAAAAAACCACCAATAACATGGAAAGTTGAGTGTAACCTAAAAAACCATCAATATCATGAGTAATTTGACGGAGTGTAAGAATGAGGTAGCTGGTAGTACATTACACTACTATTCAGTGTGTTGTGCTCTCTCAATAGGATCATTACACATAGAGCAAACACACTACTCACCACCAATATTTAGAGAGATAGTTGGGAAACTAAGGTTGATTTTTAGAGGTCTACTTTGAGGGAAAAGTTAAAAATGAGCAGGGATATATTGTACAAATGCATTGTAACGAGTTGAGGTCAAACATTCGTCATCAGCCTTTTTTTGTGTGTCTCATTTCATCGCACGAATAGCTGCAATCTCCTCTCCTTACAATTTAGTGGTTGGAGTCAACATTTAAAATCTAATAATTTAGCATCTTCAACTTGGTGCTGGTCCCCAATAGTCTGAATACCTTGTTTCAGTGTTATGTGCAGCAGGAACATACAAAACCATTGCAATGTCCACATGTGCCACATGCCCCAATAACTCCAGCAGTAAAGAAGGAGCAGTTACATGTGATTGTGAGCTGGGGATTGCTCTGATGCGTGTCGGGGTGTGTGTTGGTGAGTAACGAAACGAAAGTAACGAGTATACATTCAGTAACAAAATGTATACTCTTCACTCTGTTACAATTAACTAGGATAAGGAAGTGGATAAGGAAAATTTATGATGAATTAGTTTCAACCGATAAATTTACTTGTTTGTAAACTTAACTATAATTAGTTATTTCATTCGATTATTTAAGATGTTTTATTGATCAATTGAATTACAATAGTCTGGGGAAGACTATTGTAATTCAATAGATTAAAACTGTGCTATTTGAATTTTTAACAAAATTACCCATTTTCAATTCAGGATGACTTACATTACTGATCTATGAAGGTGCAAAGTGTTAGTCTGATTTATTATGGGTACAACTGATAAATGGGACACGCAAGTTTCACTGAAATTCAAAATTCAAAACAATATTTCAAGGATTTGACATTGCATTTACATAACATTCAAAAATTCATATAGCATTAACATAACATTTTTAAAAAGTCATTATATGAGAATATAGATGTTCATTCATATTTGTTCGATTGAAGTTAACACATACAATAATATATTACAATGAAAAGGTAAAAAGTATAAGTTGTGTACATTGGTTTTTCAACAAAAACAAACATTGGTCGGTGATAATGTTGTACAATGATAACATTGTTCAGTGTAACTACTGCCCAGTGTCCAAAATCGACTTATTTAGTGACCAAGAGTAAGTTACAGGATCCCAAATCATGAAACTAAAATATATATTTTTCTCTGATTTATAGACAAAGACCATAAATCAAAACCCATGATAGCATGGTTTAACTTTCTAAACTCTGATCATCTGATTTGATATATTAGCATGAATGTTGAAAAGTTTTTCACTTTTCAGTTCTAGTGCTGAGAATACTAATAATTGATGGGTTAGCAGAGCTTCCCTCAATAAACTCTTCTTTTGAAACACGACCATCCATATCCTTGTCTAATTGCTCGAAAATCTTGTCAGTCATACTTGCTGGGCTTTCACTCTTTACATCTGAGAATTTAAACATACACTATTGATGATTTTTCTCTCCTGATTATATAACTTGCTAATTTTTTACTCTTTAGGCTGAAGATATTTGTGCTCTGTGCTCATCATTGAAAAACGAGATGTAAACTTGCATGCTATACAGTTAGGGTTTATACTGAATAAACACAGCAACATTTTCTCATCCAAATGAACATCAATAAATGAACAATCAATAAACGTCAATATTTGTAGTTATGAAATTAGTTTAAAACAACTCACCCATCATGCAGTGAATAGCAGAGATGATTTCCAAACATTCCTCTCTAGAAATGTAGCCATTGCGATCAATGTCATACAGGTTAAATGCCCAATCTAGCTTCTCCTGTACTTGACCTAGGTGATAATACTTATATTATATTTATGCAATCAATTTTTGTTTATGCCAATACAGTATCAAATGGTATTTCAGGTGACATGTAGAAATATAATATGTCGAAAATGCATCACAAAAACTGGATTCAACAAAAAAATCAAAGTGCAGAAGAATAAAGGTCAGCAAGCACTCTGCACATGTCGCCCAAGAAAGTAAGTCAAATGAAAGTTCTTACCCCGACTTGTAATATACAAAGCACAGATAAATTCCTTGAAATCAACACCTCCATCACGATTTTTGTCAAAGCTGTTGAAAGTGAGAAGTGCAAACTTTTCTGCATCTCCTTTTGGAAATAAACTTTGATACATTTCAATAAACTCTGATTCTGCCATTTTCCCTGAAATTCATTAGCACCAATTAGCACCAATTAGCATATAATATGATAAGACCAAAACTCTTCTTGAAAATAACATTTTAATTTCTTAAATACTTTTCAGATGAGACTCCAGCTTACCTGATGGATGGAACGTAAGGAATTCCGAATATTTCTGATGTAGTTCATGGGCAGAATACCCTGTCAGTCTTGTCAAGTCGTCGATGACCTCTGGCCTCAACTTCGAGTAACTTCTTCCCATTTCTAAAAGTACATCACTGTTTACAAATTAATGAACAAAGAGCTATGAAATAATTTTAGAAACAAAAACACGTATAATGTAATTTAACTTACAGAACTCTAAGATATGATATTAAAATATGACTTAATTGCTTTGCTAACAGAATTGGATGGATCCAATACTTTTAAATGGCAACAGAGATATTTTGGCCTTTATATTGCAGTAGAGGAAGTCTTCTGTAAAAGTGGTGTTTTGCGCACGTGATAATCGTTTATATTATATTAGGCGTGCAGAACTTGAAAAATTCTGCGCGCATCTGAGGTGTCGCCGACGATCTGTATGTGGTTTGGTTGTAGATCATTTCATATTTTGCGCAATTTTGTTACGTGTTAACGATGCGTATCATCAATCATGTCACGTCATATTATTGCATCGTATGCCAACTTTAATGACTGTTATAAAATAGTCTGTATCATCTTAGTTATTATCTAACATAAACTAATACATTTGTATGCTTACTCGAATACTCGACACATCTACAGCACCATCGATTATCGAGCCTTTGATTTGATATAGGATTCTTTAAAAGCATACCACAATCTTGATCTTAGTTGCTTCTTGAATGTAAATGTAAAGTAACATCTTTTCTCAACTATATGTTTTCGCTTTTTACCATTAAGTGTCAATCAACTGTTAAATAATCAGCCACGAGTTTATCAGCTGATATCATAATTTAATTTGTTTTGACTTGCTGAATATTATCACTCGGTAATATATTAAGCTTGTTTCACCAAAATAAAAAAATTACATGTGATCAACTGTGACACTGGTAAGTCTATAGGAGTACTGTAATAATTGAAACATTATGTGACTGTGTTTTTGTTTGTACTTCCATATTATATTGTGGTACTGCTTTATAACTACATCTTTTATTTGTTCCTCTTACAATGACTGGTAATTTAGTCAATTTTTTCCACCATCTAAACAAGACGTTACACCCCCCTTCCAGATTCCAAAACAGTGAATTAACCCAATCCTTGCTCCGAAATTTAAATACCTGATTTTGTCCGCAACCAAATAGATCTATCTTGATTAACTTAATTATTATTATTATAAAACAGGATCTTACCGACAAAATGATTCTTAAGAATACCTTAATGCGGTAAACTGTACCCTTGAAAGAGATTTTCCCAACATCTGTTGCATGTAGCTATATCTATAATTTCGTTCAATTCATCATTCATGCAAGTTGTCCATTTGCAAATTTCTACTACTTAAATCACTTCTTAAAACCGATAACAATTTCATTCTAGGTCTCCCCAATCTACCAATGAATAAATTATCTGATTCAATTGCAAAAGAGAGAGCCGTTTGGGCTGGGGTGTTCTCCATACTCCTGAGAATGTGTCCAAACATCTTCCACCGCTTACTTAATACAGAAGTTTATTCAAGCTACAGAATGGACCAGTCACAAGAATGCTAAGCTTTTTTAGAAGAAGTATTTTTTGTCTAATTCAACCACTGTATTACTCGTTTTCAATGAAATTGCGACCAATTCATGCGAAATACTTGTAGCGCGATGCACTACTGGGTCGCACGCGCATCAAATAATGCTTCTCGGTAGATCGGCGAGATGCACCACTGTGCCTCACCGAGCTGCGAAGGATTGACATCGTGAATCAAGCGAAATACTAATGAAATATTGAATATAATAAACTAGCAAGCTAGGTTTTAGTTGCAGCTTACTGGGCGGCGCTCAACCTATCATTCTCTATTCGGCGGAATTCTGTTCATGAGCATAATAGCCTGGGGTTCCCAGGTAAATTTGTAGCGCGATGCGCTAGTGGGCCGCGCCGCGCACTCAATTATGCTTCTTGCAACCACAAACGCGAGACCCCAGATTTGCTAGATCAGCGAAATGCGCTACTAGCTACGGGGCCTCGCCGATCTGCGATAAATTAACCTCGTCAATTAAGGTTTGCTCTAACCAGAGCCCTCTCGTTTGCAGTAGCGCGCGACCGCAGTAGCGCGCGTCACGCAGTGCGCGTAGACACGTGACTTTGTGAAAATTAAGGTTTTAGATTTTGGAAATCCATTGTATAATGCAAGTAATAAAACTGACTGTATTAATATTATAGTTGACTTAGCTTTGATTTACCTGGGGACCTCGTAAACGAATAGAAATTAGGCGGAATGACAAGCTGAGCGCGGCCAAGTAAGTCTGAAGTCTAACTCGGTGCGCGTCTTGGTAGATTAATTTAACCATTATTGATTGTCTGGCCCGGCGCGCACGCTACTTCATAGCACTTACTTGCCATAATATTTCGAAAAGAAAGCGGCGCGCGCTACTTCGAAGAAATTGTTCACCTAGTCATGTCCCGGTGGTCGCGCGCTACTACTGCAAGCGAAAGAGCTCTAGTTAGAGCTCAAAAAGATTAATATAATAACTTACAAATTTTGAACCAAAAGTTGTTTAAACATTAAAAATGTTAATAAAATAATTCCATCGCAATAAATTATGCAATAACTTTTGGAAGACTTCACCGCTTTAACGCGCCGCGCAAACTAGTATTCTTGCTTTGCATTGACAATCGAAACCCTGACGAGATCGTTGCTCCATGCTTCGCATAGCAACGATCTGGAAGGGTTGACTTGTATCACGTTGCGACCCCCACGGTCGTTTCACTGACGATACAGGGGGAGCCGCGCACTTCGTGCGCGGCGGGTCATACAACGTATGACAAGGGTTGGCGCTCAGCCTGTCATTCCGCCGAATCTCTATATATGTTTATAAACATAATAGCATGTGGTCTCCAGGTAACCATGTACGGCGCTTGGTTGTTGGTCGCCTAGTGATTTTTTAACGCAAAATTTGCAGTTTTTATAGTTTTTGGCCGTATAAGTTATTTGGAAATAAATTTTATAGGGTTATAATATAAATAATATTGTAGGGTTATATAATTAGGTAGTGCGCCATCGACAGTGAGCCGCGCGTGCCGACTGTAGGATGGTTTTTTAGCGCTAATTTCGGCCAGCACAATCTTCTTCAAACAAATAAATATTGAGTATCGTTCCCGACCTCCAATTGCAACAAAAATTGGTAAGCTTACTCATAGACTTACAAGGAAAGTGTCCGAAAAATTTAAAGCATATCCAATTAACAGACATTATGTTATAGCTAAAAGCAGCGTATTTTGCCCCATTTTGATCACTGTATCAACTCCGATATCCACCAAATTTTTCGGACAGTTGTAAAAGCCCTATTGGAAAGTCGTCGCCAATTTTCAGAATGATCTCATTTAAGGAACTGAAGATAAATCCGAAATCGACAAAAATGGTCAAATTTGGACGAATTTGGTCAAATTACGCAACTTTTACAGCTACTTTTGCTCCAAAAGCCGCGCACCATCAAATACGGCACTTAGGCGAAATTCACTGATCTTTCCAAAAAGGTATAACAAATTTGGTATTGTGAAAATTCTCACAGTCTCTAAAAAACACTGGTACAAAAATTTTTAAAATCCGAGCAAGTTTATTTTTATCGTGCACCTCCTAATATAATTAGCTAGTGGAGAAGCTATAGAAAGCTAATGTGTAATAATTGTTACCTGGGGACCTCAGGCTATTATATTTATGTTCATAATTATTCCGCCGAATAGAGATTCGGCTTGTAGCTTGATTCACGATGTCAATCCTTCGCATCTCGCCGATCTGCATACGTGGTTGCGAGAAGCATTATTGGATGCGCGACCCAGTAGTGCATCGCGCTACAAGCTTGTAGCGCGATGCACTACTGGGCCGCGCGCGCATCAAATAATGCTTCTCGCAACCACATGCAGATCGGCGAGATGCAGATCGGTGAGATGCGAAGGATTGACATCGTGAATCAAAGATTCGGCGGAATGACAGGCTGAGCGCGGCCCAGTAACGTTAAATGTTGATTGACGACGCGATGTCAATTCTTCGCAGCTCGGCGAGGCCCAGTAGCGCTACAAACATAATAGAGATCCGGCGGAATGACAGGCTGAGCCCCGCCCAGTAAGTAAAGGACCCTTGATGCTTGAACCGAAAAATTTTGGTTTGATATTTTAGAGTTATAGCATTTTTACGTACGTGGGGACCCCTTGACGGATGTTACTCGTCTAAATTTCTTCAAAGTAGCGCGCTTTTTTCTCGATGGCAAGTGCTACGAAGTAGCGCGCGCTGGGCCTGATCATTAACAATGGTCAAGGGACCCCAGGCTATTATGTTCATAAACATAATAAAGATTCGGCGGAATGACTGGCTGAGCGCCGCCCACAGCCCAGTAAATTTTTACGCGAGAAATTATCAATTTTTCGTCCTTTTTACACACTTGCAATGCACAGGAGGCCCACATAGCATACAGCCCGACCTTATCACTAATAGTAATATATCGTGCTGCACGGTGAATTTGTATTATTCAACTTTTGGTGACAATTTTATCAAAATCGGAGACAGGAAATTCTGTGCCAACTCATAGCACTAATATTACAAGACTACTGTGCCCTAGCCCAATTAGGGCTGTAAATTTGGCGAATTGGTCAGCTTGGCTGTGGTGGTTTTTCCATTTTTGTCCCTAAATAGTAGACATAGAAGATTTAAGGCAGGTGCGGAATCGCACTATTTCTATTGTTGTTTATTTGTAGTTGGTCATTTGAGAATTTCATGAATAACTTAATGAGTCAGTGAACTTTTCAATTATCTGCAATATAGGCCTACGACCGATGGTGGTGATGGTATCTGATGGCAGTCATGGAGCAAAGCGTATTGGAGTCAGAAACTTGCGTTGACAAGACTACGTATCGATGTCCCTTCATTTCACTTGACAAATGAAACTTCGATTTGAAAATGATAAGTATCTACAGAAAATAAAGCACGGGAGTTATAGTATTTGACCATAAAATCAAATAAATCAAATAAAAAATATAACCATCTTAGCTGTATGTATAAAATATTAGCTATCAAATCCTACTTCCCTAACTCCAGGAGTTTCAAACCAAAACCATTCCAGAGCAATTAAACTTCATGAGAATTTATGTTCATTAATATAAGGACCAAATTAAAGTGTCAACCTATTTCCCACCAAATAGTTGTTTGAAGGAGTTTATTAACCGACTGTTAAACCTAAGTATGGTCGAGTGAACCACGTGACATATCGAGCTCATATCTAACCGATAAGAGCTGAAAAGTGGTCACTAAACCATTAAAATATGTTTGTAAAAGCAGGGTGTAGCCTAGTGTGCTAACGCAGGGAACTGACTAACCAGAAAGCTGTCTAGGAGGTCCATCAGATTGTGGATTCAGCTTTTTATTAGGGTACCTAAATATTATGTTAAATGAACCAAACATCCCCCTACTATTATAACACCGGGTAGGATATACAAATTTAAAGGGTCAAAGAATAAATTCTATTAACTATGTAACGAAAAAACTTGTCATCGTTTTTCCTCAACAAAAGTTATATCACATACTATTATTCACCCACTATTAATAATATCATCTAAAAATAGCACAAAATTTACAGAGTGAAACGGTGCGACATATTACCACAACTACATTATAAATTTTCATACACTTCTCCAACGCTTAAAGAACATTCGTCCATTTAATCATCATCATCTTCATCTTCCTATAATATTACCTTTCTCTCTCAATATTTCAAATCATCGAATATTATTACATTGAAACAAAGTTAATTGCAGTAACAATAATTTAATTGCCAGGTAAGAGATCACATTCAAGTTTTCCCAGTTTTGAAGAAACGTTCGATCAAAAAGGAGGCTTTAATTTGTTGATCTCTTACGGGGCATTTGTATTATCATCAATCAATGATATCTATTATATATAAATCAACGTTATATATATAGCCTTTAAGTTATTCAATTATAAATAGTAGTTGACCAGCAAGTGAGTGAAGCGTGGCAGCAACACACAGAATATCATACCAAAAATCGAGCCTCAATAAATAATACTGCAGCGAGAATTATTATGTAACAAAACATTTTACTTTAAGCTCGTTCATCAGGTAGTCTCGATTTAATGCACTCTCAATCGAGAACTAATGTGGTTATCAGAAACATAAACGGCGAATAACAATTCCGCTTTAAAACGATAAATGTGGCATTTGTATGGACAGAATTTAAAACTTATAGCTGTTCAAAAATGAAAAAATTCCTATATAAAAAGTTTATAGCAAGGGGCTATCAAATACTTTGTGTGACTGTTCCCAGACAAGGCTACAAGATATAATGTTTCAGTTATTTTATTGATACAAAATTCCATTTGCGTGCGGCTACGAAGCTCAGAAAATAATTGGTCGGTACATATAAAGCAATGCACATTACACAATACAAAAATAGGTAAAAACCAAATATTAAACCAAGCAATGTTTTCGTTGTATGTTTGCTAATGATTGTGTTAAGTTCTTCTCTCTCAAGGGGGCACATTCGTTTACCATGTATAATTCAACAAACCGAGGGTGTGAGTTTAACGTAATAATAATCATCATCATCATCGTGTGTAGTATAAAATTAAATTTTGAGCTCCTATCATGTTAACATGTTATATATTATGTGTGAGATGTAACTATGTATAATTCAGTAGGTATAAGAGGTGGTATAGGACAATAAAAACAGAGTGAAGGATGATAAATATAAAATATCACAATCCCAAAACAACTACACCATAACGTATGTCAGTATTCTTTCTTCCAACACTTCGTTTGTCATCTTCTTTGTGTTTCTATGACAATACGGCACGCCGGCATATTATTTAACGCGCATATCTCCATGACAACAGCGTGCCGGCGCGCACGGTTCGGCGTGATTGCACGTGCGTGTGTCGCCGTGAAGTTGTGTAACTATGACAAGGAGGAATAATGTTGCTTCTCACACCGTCACTTGACTATGTTTTGGAAATGTTGTTAGGGTCCCACGACCAGTCGAACAAGTCCATGGAGGGGTCCGTTAACAAGGCCGTGAAGTTCGGTTCAGAGGTCCCTGAAATAAGAGAGGTTTGTTAAATATTTGGTTAAAACTAAATTCTTAAGCCTACTATACTTTCATTTTCATGTGCGTTAGAGAATTTGCATAGCATAGTACATACATCATGCAATGATGAAATACATCACTTAAGTCAAAAGGGGCTGTTTTGTTAAAAGTTAGGGGCAGATTGCATACGTACTAACTATTGCTTAAAAAGAAAAAGATCTGCTTTAAAAAGAATAAAACGCTTTCAAACTAACGTTTTATAGGTGAAAGAGGGCTGGAATCAGTAGGACCTAACATTCCCGGGGATCTGAGGACGGGAGAGTTGCTCTTACCCAGGACATCACTCTCGTGGTTGCTAGGATACATGTTGCTCTGTGATCCCATCATGACGTGCTGAGAGGGGGGTGGCGTGTGGGACATGTGAGTAGGCGCGGCTCCCATACCATGACCTGGTCCCAAGTGGGGGGCTGGGCCGGGCCCCATGTGAGGCATCATCAGGTTGGGTTGTGGAGAGGGGTATAGAGGAGGTCGCTGCTGCTGCGCCTGTTGTTGCTGCGCCTGCGCCTGCTGCGCTTGTTGCTGCTGCGCCTGCTGTTGTTGCTGCTGCATAGGTACCAAATAGTACTGTTGTCGAGCCAGCTGATCCTGGTAGGCAGGGTCGTATCTCATCCTCTTGAACTGGTCGTTGTAGCCTGGCATCACCCCGTATTGAGCAGGGTATGATGCTAAACTCTGGCCACTCATTCTGGGGTCGGGCCCCGGCTCACTAGGTCCCTCCAGAGCCTCGTCCATGGCTTTGTCTATGTCGGTCACTGATTTCCCGCAAGTTGTACCCTTTATGTGCTTTCTAAGCGCTTTCCTGTTGGCGTAGATCTGAAATTGGGAGGTAATTAGACACAACCCAGACTAGGTACGGTAATTAGGAACCGACCAGATCGTCTATTCCTGGTATTTAAGTTAGTCGGTATCTACATTCCTTTGGAGTGTTGCCAAGAAGCACAGCAGATAAAAGCTTAAATTATGAACCATGATTAAAATGCGCATAATTTAGGGATAAAGTATCAGACTATGTTTAATGTATGTGTACAGAGAAGCTATAGAACAATACAAGCTGCCCTGCAGTCACGAGTCAACCTTTCTACTCCTTTATTAGCCAATCCTGGTCACATGACAGAAATACTAACCGCTGATTGGAGCGGGGGATACTAAATATCAGACTAGAAAGCTCTCTATTGGTGGAGAGGTAGCATCTTAGCACGTGGACAGATAATTGGTCCCCGAGGGGTTCACGTAAGGTAAATGCAATAACAATACCCCAAAACAAGGGCTACACCCAGTGTAGAGAGTGAAGGAGTGTACTCCTCCACCTTTACTGGGAGAGGAGGGGAGTCATGTAGAGGAGGAGGAGGAGGAGATTATGACGGATAACAAAAGAGAAATACTTTGTAATTTATGTGAGGTGACTTTTGTACGTGGGCAGGGTTTGGGGAATAGAGAGTAAGAGTGGTGACCGGCGGTTAGTGGTAACTTGGGGTTGTTAAAATATGTATCTGGATATATGCAATATATGTATCTAGGGGAGAGAGGGGTTCCGGTTAGCAAATTACTTCAGTATCCTTAGCCTGTGGGGGAGGAAGGGGAGGGGTTCATGTTATCTTTAGAAGTCCATCATATGAATGAATAATTAGCGAGGTGTGCTAATCCGTGGCTCCTTAGGTTAATCAGCCATGCTCAAAGATGTTAACTGACTCGGGAGGGGCTTTAAAAATGGACAAACTTGCTGGCGAAATACGTGCATGGGGAATTTTCGGGGAATTATTACTATATATCTCATAGTTTATCTTATTATCCCTAGTTAATGCAGAGTTTTCAAATAATATCAACAGTACACACTACACATTTAGTGCTATGATACTCCAGTGCGTGGCACTCTACATTCGGAAATAGTCGAGTTTAGCGGATCACCAGGATACACCAGGATATACCAGGATATGAGGGGTGTGTGACATTTGATCCTACTACATTTGCATTCCAGTGAGTGACGTTTCAAACTCAATTCTTAGCTGTAAACCTGACTTAACACCCATCACCATATCCCGTTAACTGTATCTACATTCTTAAGTCTTAACCCTAGCCGTAATCCTAAATCCTGTTTTTGTGTGATATATTCTATTTAATGATTAATATATTACATTACAACTACCTATCAAAATGTACATTAATGAAATATTATCTATGTTTAGTGTTTTGTCTCCGAAATTATAGAAATAAAAACTAGGCAGCATCTACGATCTAAACTAGAGCTGCATTTGGAAACCTGCTTAATTTTAAATTGATCTCTAGATTTCCAGAGACGATTAGGCGAATTTGCCGTTTTTGAAGTTAACTAGGTAGACTGTTTGGGTTCATAATAATTTTCCCAAGCTTGTCTAGGAAAAGTCCAAATTGGGTGGAGTTGTCCTGTAGTTGTCCGTTTTTCATGTCTATAATATTGATCCTAAATCCTGTATTTGTGTGATATATTCTATGTAATGATTAATATATTACAACTACCTATTAAAATGTACATGATCTAAATATGGAGTTGTCCTGTAGTTGTCTGTTTTCATGTCTATAATATTAATCTCTAAGTTTACTTACGATATCTTTTATCGGAATTAAAGTAAATTCCGTTTTCACACTTCTGAGTGAAGTAACGAGAACTGGGTAAATTCTAACTGACTTGCAATTCTACACATATTTACACACTTTTCTGAGGAACAAGAATATAAAATTACAGATTAAACTTGGCTCTCATTCCGTACACTGATTACAGGTACACAGATAACTACTTCGAATGCTGATATTACTGAATAATACTGTGGAGGCTTTAACTGAGAGTTTGTATCAGTGTAGTAGTGTACACATCAGCATAAACCAATGGAGAAGAGGAGGAAGGGAGAGGCAAATTGCTTGTAATTATACTATTTCCTTCTCCGCAAGGAAAAAGAGAGGGTTTGTTATACAATGTATGTGTGCTCTACTACCACTACACAAGTTGTGTTGATGGAGTTTTGCAGCCAGATAATTCTTATTAATACAGTTAAATTTATGTGCGGTACATGTTGGCGTGTGACTTACGACAGGTATTAGGATAAATGTGTAATATGTAGGCTGGTGGTTTAATATAGGTCGTATTACTGGCTCAACTTGTTTATAATGGACAGGAGTACTGTCTATAACTGCAAAGTTGGGTGCAAAACATAATCGTGGGAAACTGTGCGCAAAATATTTCGCTTATGTTAGCGCAGCGATGTACATTTCCTTTCAAATGGCATGGCCAACATCGAACTTGGTATCCCAGACATGCCAAGTTGAGCTCAGTTCTCAGCTGTTCGCAAGTGCTAAGATTAGACTTACTTTAAGAGTTTAAGAAGTGCTGGTCTAGTGTCATGATATTATCACAACAAGACCACAGTTGACACTGCAATATACAAAACTCTTCAGAGCGACGATTGCATTGGTTATTAGGAAGTTCTGAATCTAAGCCAGTATATGGACCAATCCAAATAACGTACTTCACAGTTTGCAGAATGTTGACAAAACGTCTCCAAACTTGGCATTTATGCATCAAAAGATCAGGATTACCGATAAAAGGTTTCCTCGTTGAGAATTACACAGTATAGTAGAAAATAAATAAATAAAAATATAAAATTATATATATATAATAATAGTAGATATAAACAACAGTGTACGATTAGTGTTCTATAAACCAGTTATTCCTCCTCTCCTCTCCAATACTTCATCTAATTAGCAGTGTACAGTGTACAACATACCATTAGTACAGCTGTAGCAACAAGCAGGTCGAATATTTAAACTCTCTCAGTGTTGTCAACAGGTATGATGAGGGAGAAGTGTTGTGGGTGAGAGAAGCTCTACAACTCCTCCCACATGTCCGCACGGACAATAAACGATAAGTTTCAGTTACACTATTATTATATTATAATGTTATAATAATGTGTTCTTTTGTAGCGTGTTATGGATGTTTCCCACTGTCATATTGCACACATGGTGTATTTCATTTATTCATAAATATTTTATTTAGAGTGGGATATTTGAGAATGAAAACAAAAATAAAATGGGATATTATATGTGAGGTGACTAACCTTATTGCAGATAGGACAGATAACGGAGACGTTGTTCTTTCCCTTCTGCTGAGTTGTACTCCGGTTAGAGGAGGCGGGGGTGGGGGGACGTGCGGACATCATGTTCATGTACATTGGGGGCGCCTGCCCCATCATCCCCGGCATCATGTGTCCAGGGGGTGGAACCCCCGGATGAGCCATGTGAGGGGGTCCTCTCATTCCCATCATACGAGAATCTGATCCAGGCATCTGAGCGTGTTGTAGGTGATTGCTAGGGTGCGACATTTGAGCGCTAGGGTGAGACATTTGCGTGCTTGGGTGCGACATTTGGGGGCTGGGATGCGACATTTGCGAAGTGGGATGCGACATTTGAGCGCTTGGATGCGACATTTGAATGGACGGGTGCGATATTTGGTTGCTTGGATGTGACATTTGGTTTGAAGGGTGCGACATCTGAGGACTTGGGTGTGACATTTGGTTAGTTGGGTGTGACAACTGCTCGGTAGGTAGATGCATTTGGCCGCTAGGATGTGAGATTGTGTTAGGTGGCCCGGGAGGGGCGTGGTTGGTGGGGTGTGACATTTGGTTAGTTGGGTGGGGAACTTGAGATGATGAGGTGGCAGGAGTGCTATTGTTTATATCAGTCTGTTGCTGGAGTTTCTGAGAGTTAGGGGCGGTGGAGCTCATCTTTGGAGACCCCATAAGGTTGGAAGGAGAGGCGCTGGTCTTGATGCTTGGCGAGGTTTTGATGTGCGGAGACATGGAGTTATTTGCAGGAGAGTTGGGTTGGGAGTGGGACTGTCCATTTCTCATCTGAGGCGAGGATTTAGCTTTAACTTGTTGCTGTTGGACAGGACCAGGGTAAGGTTTGATAGGTTGGCCCATGTTAGGCTGCATTACCAGGTGCATGTTAGGGTGCATCATGTTGTAGCCTGCTTGCATTTGCTGCTGCTGGTTCGCTAGCATCTTCTGTCTCAACATCTGGTGTCCGAACCGGGGGTTTCCTTGAGCGCCAGGATGAGAGTGATGCAGCATAGTATGAGGCATGGGCCCCATGTGGGGCGATACCGTCATGTTGGGGGTTTGAGCCGGACTGTGGCCCAGCGTAGTTGTCTGGGTCTCACAGGGAGTGACAGAAGGGGGCCGGGTGATGGGGGTGACAGAGGGAGGCGGGTACTGGTACTGAGACTGCGAGAATACGGTAGATGGTGACATGTTGTTCAGCATTCCTCCTGCCTCTTCTTGACTTGATACCTGAGAAATAACCCCGTTACAATACAAATCTTACATTCCGACTCACAAACTAAACAGCGAACCTACAAAGTAACGCGTCTGACCCGGCTCATAACGGACCAGCTTATAAGATATCAATAAGTGGACCGTAACAATATTAAAGTTGCACGGGCCTGTCCCAGAACAGTCCCTGGTTGGAGAAATTAACTGAAAGTTGAAACTAGAGTGGCGTGAGGTGGGCACCCTGGCTTCTTAATCAAACAATTCAGACTCTTAGTCTGGTATCACGTGAGGTACACTCGATAGCAAAATTACAATATATCATAGATCTTGCAACGTCAATTACTAATTCAAACAGAAAGGTCCTAAAAGCGGTCTTAATCAGGGGAAATTCATGCCAAAAGGAGCAGATAATTATTGAACCCGACATTAATATAAACCAGGTTATTAGTGCGAAAAAGAACAAATTGCAGAGCAACAAAGGCCTGATCAGACTTTATCTCCATTATGGTGGTCGGAGAGCAGATCGGGTTACACATTTATATATATTTCTATATTTTAGAGGGAGAGAGAGAGAGGGAGGGAGAGAGAGAGAGAGAGAGAGAGAGAGAGAGAGAGAGAGAGAGAGAGAGAGAGAGAGAGAGGGGGTACACCAGGAGGGAATTAATTTCTAGAATTTTACAGATTATTGGGCTGATAATTAGGACTGCATATGCATGGCCTTAGGATGAATAAAATGTTATTATCATGAATAATAATTAACCTTATCAAAGAGATAAGAGCGGGGTGATAATGTACTAATTGAAATGCGAGGAACTAGTAGCTATATCAGTAGCTGACATATGTTCCCAATGATAAGAGCACTACGACAGGTGCAGAGCTGGTTGTTGTTACTAGTGGCACAGTTTTAGTAGTGCCATGCTCTTTAGAGTTAGTTGAACAGTTACAAGTGGGTTACAAGTACAATTTATTGAGCTAGATGAATATCCGACAGGTAATACTTAAGTCTGTAGCAACACGCCATTTAAGGAGTAAAATAAGGAGTTAAGGAGTAATATAAGGAGCTAACCTCTGTTTTTATAGTAGCAGAGGGATCACCAAGACTAGGCCCGCTGTTAGGAAGATTGGGAGGCATGGGACTAGAACTGGAGATGGGTGCGCTGTTAGGCTGGGTGGTGGGAGGCGACTTGCTGGCGGCGAAGTTGTTAGGCTGGGTCATGATGGTGATGGGTCCCATCAGCTGCCCGTTCTGCAGCATCTGTCCTCCTGGGGTGTGATGTCTTTAAGTTTTAAAGTAAGTTAATGTAATAAAACTTAAATGGAAAATTTATCGCTAGATGTGTCCTGAAGTTGAGGAAAAGTAAAATTGCAAAATCTTGTACGTTAGAAATCCAAAATACCAGCTGCAGTCAATAAACAAATTATCGGCCATAATTACAGTAATGATCACTTAAGCAAATTACCAGCAGATAATGACAGTAATTTCGCTAATTACTAATTAAATAACAGTAATCAAACCAACCTGGGACAACAGAGCTGCTCATGATGACGTTCATTGGCGGTTGCTGGTGTAGTGAGTGTAGGACTGAAGACGTCATACCTCCAGGCTGCAGATTGTTATTAGTTAATAATTATATTATCATTATGGTAATAGTATTAGTTAATAAATAATATTATTATAGAATAATTAAATTCACGAGTTGGGTATGCGAGTACTTTAAAAATATAAAATATTTAGGAACGTGAGCTCTTGTTATAATGTTACTTAATCTTCGCTACAGTAAGTTTAACGGAGCAGTGAATCCTTGATAATTATTGGCAACAGCTCCGATAATTCAATAATTCGCAACTTAATTTTGTTACTAATGCGGAATAAACTGATTTAATTCCTTGGATCGTTCTATGTGGTATTAAAATACAGTTATAAGGTTTGAAGATTATAAATACAACGTCAGTTCGCTTAGCTTAAGTTCTTACCTTCTACCACTACCAGAGTAAGTGACTTAATTAGTAACTCACTTACTTTAAGTTAGTTAAATAAGTTACAGTGTCACATGATAACTAACTCTACATCTTGTGTATTGTGTTTATTAATTAGTAGTAAAATAGAGGTGCGTAGTTAGCATTCTTTCAATGAGGAATGAATGTGATGAATTATCTACACATTAAAACGCGTACTAACAAGTGGCAGCTAAGAGAATAACTCCGGAATAAGGAATTTCTACTACAGTTAACTCACATGAAGATCCAGGATAAACTATAATTATTAGAGCTCTTAAGTCTTAATTCCGCTTTTGTGTTGTACGTAGGAGATAGTAGAGCAGGAATGCTGTACAAAGCTACGTTTAATACATCAAAAGCGGGTAATTGCCCGATTGCACAGGTAATATCCCGATTGCACAGACAATTGGGCGATGGAAATTCATTAATTTGTGTGCGTTTAAATTATAACAAAAACATATTACATACGTTACACAACAAAGCGTGTTGCGTGTAATCTTTGACTTCAACATGCTGTCAGCAAAGCGTTAAATTTAAAAGTAAATAACAAATTCTACTAATTCTGGTAGTATTTATCAATCGACCAAGCCTTCTAAAACTACAGTTACGCAACTACAGTTAACTAAACCTCCGCCACACACTAACACACACTCTACCATACAAAGACAAATTAAAAGCGCATTAAAATAAAGATAAAAACAACAATACAACTCACTCTCTATTACATAAAATCATATGCACAGTAAACACTGCACAGTCCACAAGATATACAATATGCGTGCATCACACACGTGGGCGTTACATACACGTGTATTTATTTGAGAGAGAGAGAAAGTACAATTTTACAGACTGGGCTTATCTAGCACACAGAGCCCACGTGTCTCGGTCAACAAGTACTCTACAAGTCAACACAATAAACAAATAGATTTGAACAGAATACATAGCGCCCACGTGACGCAAATACAGCGTTCCCACTGGTGGAGTAAGGAAATGCTCGGCTGTGATTGGACCATTTTGTCCACATGTTACGAGAGACAATACAGCGGTGCATACGATGTCGGTGATGCAGCAGGCGTGTTACAAGTAAAATAAAATAGCAGCCCGGTGGAGAGTTTAAAACACTTGGATAGCAGCCCGGCATTTCAGTAACAAATCAGACTCTCAACTCTCCAATAGGAGACTTCAGACAGGCGTGGGCTTTTAAAACAAGTTTATCACAAACCCGATAATTTGGTAAAATCTGCGCTTGTAACGGCGGGGTTAAAACAGTGTAATAATCACCATTCTCACTCGCTCCGAGAAAAGCAGCATTAAGAATTACTAACGTTTGTATCTCGGGGTAAGATACTATGGCTTTAGACTAATAGTAATATAATAAGTTATAGCGCGGTAAAGGGTAGCAAATATTAGCAGCAACTAGTTGTAGTTTATTATTCAGGTTTCCCGTAGCTATTCGCACTGGTCATAACTAGGTAAGAAATGCCGATTATTGCTAATGTTAGCACAGCGTTGTTATTTGTAGTTCAGCTCGGCTTATAATATGGTATTAGGTAAGATGGCACAAAAACTGAAGAAAAAAGCAAAGCAAAAGTGTTGCGCGGTACGCTTTTTGCAGGAAACGCGGCCAATAAAATCCTGGAAAATTATCCCTTGACAGTTGACATATTATGCAGATAATAGACAATTAATTGAGGAGCTGGGCTAGTTCGATAGTCATTATTACGGTGGATTAATTAGCATTAATTAGCATTAATTAGCGATAATAGTGAGGCAAGCTGTGGCGCTAATTAGCCCTGATTATTTACCACATGTAAACAATTATATATGCTGAGAGAGGTAATTATTTTATGCAGAGTAGAGCACACATGCAATATGACATGACAGCAGAGGAAACTGCACAAAGTGAATTTGAAGTTGTCAAATCAGCGCACGTGTGGTGTAGAGTGACACGTGCAGGCAATAACGTGCTCTCATTGGACAAGCACAGTCACCACGGCAACTAGACGCACCGTGATTGGTTAACTGGCCCACGTGACTCAATCTCTGAACAACACTGGGCCATGCCAAAAAGTTGCAAATAAATTGATTCTTCCTTCTGTGGGCGTGTCACGTGTAACTCTCCACAGGTATTGGTTAGCTTAAGCAGGAAGCTGAGTACCACTCTCTGATACAAAACAATGTATCTACGAAAGTGAAGAGAGAAAAAGAGACACCTGGATGAGGCAAGAGAAGCAAGTACATGTCAGGATGGTTAGACGTTAGGGTGTAATCAGTTTCACTTCCTCTTTCGTTTTTAAGTCTGATTAAACCATGTTTCACTTTCACCTTTAACCAGACAGAAGTCCGTACATTAATGACACTTCGCATCTACGTAACGTCTACTTTGTCGGTTAATTCCCAATAAACTGCTTTTTATTTTCTGACAAGGCGGTTTAATATATCTCTCCGACAAGGCGTAATATTATTTTCTCTCTCTCCGAAATGATACACCAACGTTACGCGGATCTACACAACTTTAAAGCTATGCTAATACAAGGTTAATGCCTCCTGTTGGCACCTCATCATTATTTTCTATAGTGTTGCATTAACAGCGAAGAGCTAGAAACTGGTGAAGGTTGAACTGACTCTATCATACCCCTACGTTCGGCTCTGTGACAGCAGTTTTTCAACCCCCCCCCCACTTAGAAACACTAACCCGGTAAATTGCGTATTATAGTTTAACTAACTGTTTACAATTTACACTATTATCGAGGGTGATTGTCGGCAATACAGGCAGGGTGACCAAGTGTAACAAGTTGCTTAAATTGCGGTATGTTTGGTGGAGAAGTTGGAGGTCTTCTCTCCAGAGAGAGAACTAGAAGCTTGGGGTTGAAAAGGGTTTCGTTTATATTATTATATATATATGGTGTAGTATAACTGGAGTGTAAATGCTTTGCAACAATAATTGTTGCAGTGAATGTTGGGGGCTCGTGTAAGTAAGTGGTGCTCCAATGTTAAAATTGAGTAATTTGATAATACAATGTTTAATCTAATCAAGTGAAATAAAAGGAAAGTTAACTCCAAAAATAGGAATTGCGAGTAAAATTAATTGTAAAAGCAGAATGTGGGGTAAGGTGTGCATTCTCGAGAACAATATTTAAGCAGAATATTATTCCTCAGAGTTATCTTGTCTATTTACCTGTATCCCGTTGGCAGGAGAAGAAGGGTTACTGCTGTTCTGTTTCATGTGCGTCTTGCGATGTGAGTTGTACGATTCTAACCGGGTGAACTGCTTCGAACATTCTGAGGGAGAATAGTGGTTAAAATACTGATAAAGTTAATCAGGGGGAGGGAGAATAGTGGTTAAAATACTGATAAAGTTAATCAGGGAGGGGGGGAGGATAGTGGTTAAAATACTGGGGGGGGGGGGGGGGGGGGGGGGGGGGGGGGGGGTGGGGGGGCGGGCGGGGGGCCAACCATATTAAAGTATATTAAAATGTATGTTTTTTTGACCCGGGGATATACTTTAATATGGTTGCCCCCCCCCCCCCCCCCCTTAAGTTAATCAGGCCGGGGGGGGGGGGGGGGGGGGCTGGGGGTGCGAATTGTGGGAGAAGGCACGGAGGTTTTAAGAGTTTATAACTAGAAAACATCTGCAACACTGTGTGATATAGTGTACAGATGATCTTCCAAAAGTGTGGATATAATTGCAGGCTATGGTCAATAGAACTATTCATCATTTCGCCAGAATTTGTAATTGAATTATTGTAATTGAGTTATTGTAATTGAGTATGCTGGGAAATAATTCGCATAAAATGTGCATGTTCCATGCAGAAGTATTCATAATGGAATCATTATAATTGAGAGACCAGAGTATGATCAAACGCGGAGCGACGCCAACACGAACAGGACCATTGTATCTAACAACAAAGATTTTCCTAGGAAGAATCTAAAATAAAACAAAATGTCCATTGTCTAATATCCATTGTAAGATAATGAGCAATACATGTATTAGTGTACGGGGGGTAATGAGAGAGAGATAATAGTAATGATAATATACACGGGAGGCAGTCTGTCCGTCCATCAGCTCCGCTACAACAATATAGCGAGTTAGATAATTAGGATTACACCAGCAGACAAGTTAGCTGGTGTGGTATGAGCTAATAGTTAGGTCACTACTGGTGGGTAGCGGAGAAGTACGTACTAAAAGTACGAGATGAGCGTACTAAAAGTACGATACAAGAGCCATGGAGCTGTACTTATACCAATTATGTACCAACTATATTTCAGTTTAGTTAAAAGAACCCGATTACCAAGGCCATAGCCCATATGAGTCCTTACTCCTTGTACCACGATATTTCTTGGCCTTATTCCATGATATTTCTGGGCGCCGAAGGGGTTAAGGCACCGTATGGTTAAGAATTTGGTCGTGACAAAGTCTTAATACTAGGTGACCAAATCTTACTACTTTTCGTCCATATTAGACCCCTCCGTAGTCCGTAAGGCACTCAGATTTAAGTATCGGGAAGAAGGCCCCGGTTTAAACATGACTTGGTGGTTTAATTTAAGTTCATCAAACTTAACTCCTTAGTTTTTCTGACACAGCTAAATCTAGATCTGAAATGTTTCCCCAATATAGTGCGCTCCTTCCGAGAATCACCACAAAACTTATTACATTATTTATAAACGACCCATTATTTCCCATACTAAATTCTACTTGAATAGCTCTTACAATAAACCTTGAAACACCATTGTAAATTGCCTTGAAACAACAGTGTAAACGCACCTACAATACTACAATACCAACCCCGTAACAAATACCTAGAACCTTATAGTGATATGAAATTAGTTGACACAAAGAACAGTAAATAACAAGCAGTAGTGTATACTAATGATATTGATAAATACAGATGATAAGTACAGATAAGTGATGTACGTCACAGTAATGACAACAACACTAATACTACTGGGTAAAAGGGAGCTGAGCTGTGCACTTAAAGCAGCAAGCTTATTAAAATGACGAAGGGAGAGCAGAGTAGTAGCTACTAATAATTCAACCAGCGTGCTGGTGACATAGTGTCGACAACGGCCTCATTTACAGCCATATAAGGTATAATAACCGGACATTATGCCCAAATATGGTATAAACGGGAGTCATGTAAAATTACATTCAGATTAGGAGATGTATTACGCGATACACACATAATGAACCCACAAGCAGTATAACTAGAGCCCGGACAGTATCTCGGTCAGAGACTCCAGATAATATTGTGCTATTTTACCGGGCTTAATATTGTGACGGTTTTACTGTCACGTCCCCGTGAAACAATACGTGACGAGATAGTATCTTTACCATACCTAGTTATTCCGAGGAAATGGCTTATCTAAAGAGAATTAAGGTTGAGGATTGAGTAATGGAGATTGAAGAAGAGAACAAATAAAAGCTGGTTTAGGAGCAGACAAGTTTAAGGGGGTTTGATATTGAGGAATGTAAACCAGATAATATCTAGATGATATCTTCTGGAGAATATGATGACGTCTGAGTCTTCTTGACAATTCAATTATTCATCAGAAATAGCAAGATAACTAAGCAGTCTGCTAAGCGGGAAAAGAAGTAATATGGTTTACAAAAGGGTACTGAAGAGTGAAGAAGGGGGCAAATATGATTTAGGACCAACAAGGGGCAACCTGTTAGTTGGAAGGGTGTTCCACTACCCAAGTGGTATATTCCCTGCGTATTTAACATGTTTGGTGCTTGTTCTACTTATATTTGGAGACAGCCTGACTCTCAATATCCACAAGAGAATACATTAGCGTTGCCAGGCAACCAGGGGACTGGTATCTATACAGAGTTAGTTTAGTATCATTAAAGATACGACAAGAATTTCATTCACACCCAGACCTAGTCACGGCTTGTTCAGTACTTATTCTGGGCTATTTCGAGACTGAAAGGCGACAAGAGAGTACATTTCATTGGCAGCAGCCCTGGTAGCAATGATCCGGTATTTAGTATCATTAAAAGATGCCGACAACAATTTCATTCACACCCACACCACGCATTCAAATTCAATACATTGTATTATATAGCTATGGCCTGCCACCTGTGAATAATCATTAGTATTTTATCAAGACATATCTTCAGTTCCAACAGGGAGGACAACCCTTCTAAATCCGAGACATTCTGTACATCATATCTTAATTCATAGTAAATAGTTACAATACAGTATTCACTCGTTAATAGACTATTACATCACCACATATTACTCAATACTATATTCAATGGCGGTGCTCTAAATAATAAATCTAACAGAACCCATTCATTAAGCTAAACTAATGATCATTTTGCTCTCTCTGTGACATTTAAATTATAATACCAGTAAATCAATATGCTCTCTCCCTCCCTCTCTCTCTCTCTCACCCTCTGTGAATGCACAGATTTAAATAATAATACCAGCAAGTGAGAGAGAGACGTTGGATTAATCGAGTTAGGCAAGTGTGGGCCGAGCTGTTGTTTTTAAGTAAGATTGTGAGTTGTAAATATGGTATTGGGTTTCGTTCTCTGTCTCTATCGGTAACGTGGGCTGTGAGGTAAATACCCCTGAAACTCTATATTATATACAGTAACGCGGGACAGATACAGTACAGAGGGGACAGGTACAGTGCTAAATTGGTAGTTTTAGTAGGAAGGTGGGGGGCCTACAGATACAGTTCTAAATAAGTAGCAGTGGGGCCGTGGCCGGGGGGTAGGTCACTACAGATATGATGGTAATTGCTAAATCAGGAGCTTTTGATAGAGCAGGAGGGGACAGATGTCAGATTACAGATACAGTGCTAAATTAGTACGGTTTTAGTAGTGCAGTGAGGGGGTTTTTATTTTTAGAAACAAGAGTGAGGGTTGAGGGGGGGGGGCCAGGGGGCATTAAATTTGTTATTATATTTCTTTTTTGGAAGCAGAGGGTGGGGGTCCTTGCTGTTATATACTAAGTTCCATTACATCCCAGAACATTCTGGAAGAGTCCAGCTGTTGCAAGTATATTTATTATTATATACCGAAACTAGAGAACAGTGTGGAAGTTGTAGAAGCTCCAAACTTAGGGGCGTGTGCCGTACAGCACACACGCTTACATTGCCACTACTGCTACAACTACTACAACTACTACTCTCAATCCTGGGGGTCCACTTTTAAAATAGTGTTTAAACATACATAGTAAGTCTATTTATAGCAGGGAGAGAGAGAGTTGCCATTATGGTAAGAGGAATAATATCCAGTGCTAACTTGTTCACTGTTCTTAATGCTGGTCCTCAGCTGCGCATGCAACGTGTGGTAATGAAAATACCCGCATAAATATAATACTTTGTTATATATTATGAATATTAAATATACTAATATACTATAAATATTCCATACTTATTTATACATGAATGTTTCATATATTTATACATATATTTCAATAACAATTACAATGCCCGTACAGTATTATACACCGATAACAATTAAACGCACATAATACTTATGATCGGATATAATGGCTAAACACTCCCCAATATTAGTATTACTCCTCTTTTTAATCCTCCCATTGTGGAGACGTTTCTTCTGTTTAGTACAGACGAGACAGAGAAAGTTAAGACAACAACAAAGGAGCGAGTCATTGCTGAGCTGCACAAGAATTTGGTAACGTAGTTGTTTAGCAGCTATTGTCCCGTTCTAACCATACTTATAAAGTATACGGGTATAAAGTAGTAGCGGGTATAAAGTAGTAGCGGGTATAAAGTAGTAGCGGGTATAAAGTAGTAGCGGGTATAAAGTAGTAGCGGGTATAAAGTAGTAGCGGGTATAAAGTAGTAGCGGGTATAAAGTAGTAGCGGGTATAAAGTAGTAGCGGGTATAAAGTAGTAGCGGGTATAAAGTAGTAGCGGGTATAAAGTATACGGGTATAAAGTAGTAGCGGGTATAAAGTATACGGGTATAAAGTAGTAGCGGGTATAAAGTATACGGGTATAAAGTAGTAGCGGGTATAAAGTAGTAGCGGGTATAAAGTAGTAGCGGGTATAAAGTAGTAGCGGGTATAAAGTAGTAGCGGGTATAAAGTAGTAGCGGGTATAAAGTAGTAGCGGGTATAAAGTAGTAGCGGGTAAGTGTGTACCTAATGTATACTACAGAGAGCTGTGAAGATGATTAAGGGAACATAATTAAGAGGGAAAGGTTGATATATTCTTACTTAATTCTAAGTTAAGTAACCCCTACCCTGCTACTAATATAACAGATCGGTTATCCAACAATGTTAAGTAAGGTAGTTGTTTAG